TCCGTGCATTGTTCCAAAATTGACAATTTTTAATGTGACGAAAATAAGCTCGCCTTTAGAGGGCTTACAACGACGAGAGTGCATCGAACTTGAAATCCGGTAAAACTATTTTAAAGTACAGGGTTCTAGCTTTAATTTGAGATAAAGATGATCATCTTGCGATGATTTCTCACGGAGTTATCGTCGGTCGAAATTGGCAGCTTTTAATACGAAAAACATGGCCTCGCATTTAAAGGTTCACAATGGTGTGGGAGCATAGAACCTAAAATCCAGAGAGAGAGTGTCTTAAAGCGGAGGTCTCGAGCTTTAATTTGAGCCGAAGATCATCCTCCTACTATGATTTTTCTCGGAATTAAGTGTATAAATTGCGAACGCTTTATATACACCGCAGTATTTAGGGCGTCCGCAGTAATACCCACACTTAGCCTATACGTCTCCCCGATAATGCTACCGTCAATTAATTGCGAAATAATTGCTTCGACCGGGCAACGACTTATTCTCCTCGCTCACTTTCAACGCGCCGGCACCGCCGCGGTTTTCGTTCACTTTCTGCAATTCGATATCGTTTCAAACGCCGCGCGCGGTTCGTTGCTGCCGGTGTAATACAGTATACTCTCCTCAATTTTCCTTCAGCTTCTAAACAAACGTGGGCTATTCGGGAAGAGGAGATGCGATTATTCGAGCCTCACAGCTCGTTTTTATGGTTGTTGACAATTCGTACCATAGATTGGAGAACACGCAAGGGTTACTATAAACTGCTGTAACTTTGCGAGAAAAATTCGCAGCCGAGTTTCTTTTTTATCAAATTAAAGGGGAAAGATCGAACTTCGTTCTGCCGCGAACGGCATCTCGGAGAAAAATTGTCCAAAGTCCGTGCGATTCGTCGAACTCGACGATACGACGTATGACGTACGACGAACATGGCCTCGCATTTAAAGGGTCACAGTAGCGAGGATGCGTGGAACTTAAAATCCAGGCACGCTGTCCGAAAGCAGAGGTTTCGAGCTTTAATTTAAAAAAAGAGTCATCGTCCCGAGGTGATTTTTTGCGGAGTTATCGTCGCTCGAAGTTGTGCTCTGTTAGAACTCGACATCTCGCTTCCAAGTACAGTAATGTCTCCCTTACTGACGCACAGATTGCGCACAAAAATGGACAATTCGGGAAGAGAAGATACGATTGTTCGAGCCTCGCGGCTCGTTTTTATATTTCTCGACAATTCGTAACTATGAAAACGAACCGCAAGGCTCGAACAATCGCATCTTCTCTTCCCAAATCGTCCATTCTCGTGGACAATCCGAGCGTCAATTAGAGAGACATTACTGTACACTGTGCGCAGTCACCCTATAGGGTGTCCCGTTTAAATCGATCCGGTCGACTATCTTCGAAACCGTCGGCGACGCTGAGAAATGTTCACAATGAAATTTGAACGTTATCAAGGGACACGTGATCCGACATCGATAAGATTTTCTAAACGAACGCGTCGACGGACATGTGCAAAGGTCGTCTTCCTTTCTCTTTTCTCTCCAACGGAATTGTATACGTATATATTATATATATATATTATTATTATTATTATTATTATTACTATATATATAATATATATATATAATATATATATAAATAATATAAATATGTATAATAAAAAATATTATATATTATATTATATATTATAAATATAGTATAATATAAATCCATGATGATATAAATATAATATAATATAAATCCATGATAATATAAATATAATATAAATCCATAATAATATAAATATAATATAATATAAATCCATAATAGTATAAATATAATATAAATCCATAATAATATAAATATAATATAATATATAAATCCATAATAGTATAAATATAATATAATAATATATTATTATTATAATAAAATAATATATATATATAATATATAATATAATATATAATATTTTTTATTATACATATTTATATTATTTTTATAGCCGATTCGTCTCGTCGTTCAATTGGAAAATAATTCTTCGCAAAAATACAAATGCGTTCGTTGCGGGAAATCGTCGGCTGAAAGAGCGATATTTGAGTATTAGCGACGCGTTTAATTAGCCCGAGTGGTCCAAGGGTGAAAATACACGCGGCGGCGGCGACGGTGTACAACGGCGTCGCGGTGACATTTTCGGCTTCGAAAACACCAAACTCCCGGCCGTCCGTTTTTGTTTTCGGATGGCGGTGAAACCGGTTCGTCGGTGACCGGGACACGAACAATACCCGGACTAACCAAAATTATTTTCTGGTCTCCGTAAACGAGCCTGTGCGTCACACGCGACGCGACGCGTCGCTTCGGTTTTCGCCTAACTGGAAGCAAGGAGAACGAGAGGCGACTCGCCGCGATCGGAATCTCTCCGGAAGCGATTACACGTGCCTGCGCCGTTCGATTCCTCCGATCGAGCGTTCTTCGCCCACGCCCGGCGCTCCGGGTCGAGGTCATTTTTTAGCAAAAAATATCTACTTTTCAGCTTCGAGTCAAGTGCAAATAATGCGAATCTAAATTAAAGATAATAAATAATCTCCTGCGAATCGACTACCCTTTTAAACCCTTTGGAATCCTTTGAAATGGCGATAAACGGAATTATCAGGTTTGACGGATAACTGTGTAATTAAGTACAACGTTGCTGTTGACATAGCCTTGATATAACCTTAAATTTGCAATGTATGTTCTGTGTGTTTCGACGTTTAACGGTGCCTGTATTTTTTAGGTGTTTAAATAAAGTTTTGGCGGATTTTAATTAACGTGTTGTTGATACAAAGATGATTTTGACTTCGAGAATTTGACCTGCGGTTTTATATTATTATGGAGTTTTTATGTTATTATGGATTTATATATTATATTATATTTATATTGTTATGGATTTATATTATATTTATACTATTATGGATTTATATTATATTTATACTATTATGGATTTATATTATATTATATTTATATTATTACGGATTTATATTATACTATATTTATATTATATTATATTTATATTATCATGGATTTATATTATATTATATTTATATTATTATGGATTTATATTATATTATATTTATATTTTCATGGATTTATATCATACTATATTTATATTGTTATGGATTTATATTATATTATATTTATATCATCATGGATTTATATTATACTATATTTATATTATTATGGATTTATATTATATTATATTTATATTATCATGGATTTATATTATACTATATTTATATTATTATGGATTTATATTATATTATATTTATATCATCATGGATTTATATTATACTATATTTATATTATTATGGATTTATATTATATTATATTTATATCATCATGGATTTATATTATACTATATTTATATTATTATGGATTTATATTATATTATATTTATATTATCATGGATTTATATTATACTATATTTATATTATTATGGATTTATATTATATTATATTTATATCATCATGGATTTATATTATACTATATTTATATTATTATGGATTTATATTATATTATATTTATATCATCATGGATTTATATTATACTATATTTATATTATTATGGATTTATATTATATTATATTTATATCATCATGGATTTATATTATACTATATTTATATTATTATGGATTTATATTATATTATATTTATATCATCATGGATTTATATTATACTATATTTATATTATTATGGATTTATATTATATTATATTTATATCATCATGGATTTATATTATACTATATTTATATTATTATGGATTTATATTATATTATATTTATATTATCATGGATTTATATCATACTATATTTATATTGTTATGGATTTATATTATATTATATTTATATCATCATGGATTTATATTATACTATATTTATATTATTATGGATTTATATTATATTATATTTATATCATCATGGATTTATATTATACTATATTTATATTATTATCGATTTATATTATATTATATTTATATTATTATGGATTTATATTATATTATATTTATATCATCATGGATTTATATTATACTATATTTATATTGTNTCGAAGACATAAGCTGCTACCATTAAAAACTATCGAATATATTTCTTCACTCGGGCACGCGTTATTATAAAAATTGTGACAAATTTGAATAAATTCTATCTTGTAATTCTTACGCGGCAATAATTTCTGTTGGTCGCTTTTAGACTTGGTTGTACATTTAGTGTTAACGAGAATCTCGACGCGGCATTTTCAACGTCGAGCAAAGGGAACGTGGTCCTTGTCTATTGTTCATAATATCGATAAACGCTATTTTAAACCCTGTTGGTTCGTTCGTTCGGAAGATTTATAATACATCACGGTACGCTCGCATTATTTATTAAATTTTATATAATATATATTTAATATACAGATTTTTTATAATATATATTTAGTATTTAATATATATATATTTTATAATATATATTCAATATTTAATATATATATATATTTTATAGTATATATTTAATATTTAATATATATATATATTAAATATAGATCTTAATATATAGATTCTTGATATTCTCTACAGCGAAATATTCTCAAAAATAGCGTTTAATCTTCAACGTTAAAAGTCCACGAATCCATGAAAAGAACCATTCAATTTCAGCGAAAAATTACGCGTTCCGCGCCGCTGCGCGCTCGCCACCCGATTTCAGAACGAACCACGATATTTCCGCCGTTTCCAACGATCCGACGGAAAAACGTTCCCAACAAAAGTTGCTCGTTATTCCCTTCTCCACATATTACAATATAAAAGCTTCCGATAAAAAAACTTTTTCCCACAAGAAACCCCGAGCACCACGATTTTCAAAATATTAATACATATTTCCGATTCGATAATATTCTAGCTGGCGTCGAGACGAATTCAACGACCCGCCATGCAGCGAGAGTGGACGTTCACGCCTCGCCAAAATAATTCGAAAGAATAGAAGAAAGCGAAAATGCGGCCGAACCGCTGCGCCACGCGGAGAGGAGGACACCTACTTGCCAATGAGAAGAAGCGTTCCCGAGGATCACCACTGCACCGAAACGAAAGGGGAGAGGGACGCTGGCTGCGATCGCACTGAGAACTTCGGGACGAGTCGATTCGAATGCTGGAGGATGATCGAGAGGATTCGAGCCGCGCGGCACCCCGACACCGATAAAAAAACCGAATCCGTGATTTCGATCGCGATCGGCGTCGCCCGGATCGTTTCCGAAACTTCCCGATGATGGCACCGACGATGACACGGACACACACACACACACGTGGAGCGAGAAACGATATTTCGAAGATACAACCGAAGAAAGAGTGCGCCGTCCTTCGAGTCCGTTCCGCGCGCCGTCGAGCGCGCTACTGGTCCGAGCCGATCGTCGCCGGGCGGCAAGACCGGCACGAAAATACCGCGCAAGTATTCTAATACCGCCAATCCTGTATAAGAGCGTGACCGCGAACCGTAGCGCGTCGCCGGGGCGTCGCGTCGCGTCGCGTCGCCGCCGATTCGCGCGCGTCTTCTTCCATTGACAGAAGCGTGGCCGATAACGGAAACCGGTTCGTCCATATTTTTCCGGGGTTGCGACCGCGCGCGGGAAACTGTACTGCGCCGGTGGGGGTTATTGTAACATTTATTAGCTACGTTGTGTTATGTGTAACATTGTATTATATTATATGTAACATTATATTATATTATATTATATATAGCATTATATTATATATGACATTCTATATTATTACATAATATTCTATTATATGTATATAACATCCTATTTTATATACAACATTCTATTATATATAATATTCTATTTTATATAAAACATTCTATTTTATATATAATATTCTACTATAAATATAATATTCTATTTTATATATAATATTCTACTATAAATAACATTCTATTACATATAATATTCTACTATAAATAACATTCTATTTTATATATAATATTCTATTATAAATAACATTCTAGTACATATAATATTCTACTATAAATAACATTCTATTTTATATATAATATTCTATTATAAATAACATTCTAGTACATATAATATTCTACTATAAATAACATTCTATTTTATATATAATATTCTATTATAAATAACATTCTAGTACATATAATATTCTACTATAAATAACATTCTATTTTATATATAATATTCTATTATAAATAACATTCTAGTACATATAATATTCTACTATAAATAACATTCTATTTTATATATAATATTCTATTATAAATAACATTCTAGTACATATAATATTCTACTATAAATAACATTCTATTTTATATATAATATTCTATTATAAATAACATTCTAGTACATATAATATTCTACTATAAATAACATTCTATTTTATATATAATATTCTATTATAAATAACATTCTAGTACATATAATATTCTACTATAAATAACATTCTATTTTATATATAATATTCTATTATAAATAACATTCTAGTACATATAATATTCTACTATAAATAACATTCTATTTTATATATAATATTCTATTATAAATAACATTCTAGTACATATAATATTCTACTATAAATAACATTCTATTTTATATATAATATTCTATTATAAATAACATTCTAGTACATATAATATTCTACTATAAATAACATTCTATTTTATATATAATATTCTATTATAAATAACATTCTAGTACATATAATATTCTACTATAAATAACATTCTATTTTATATATAATATTCTATTATAAATAACATTCTAGTACATATAATATTCTACTATAAATAACATTCTATTTTATATATAATATTCTATTATAAATAACATTCTAGTACATATAATATTCTACTATAAATAACATTCTATTTTATATATAATATTCTATTATAAATAACATTCTAGTACATATAATATTCTACTATAAATAACATTCTATTTTATATATAATATTCTATTATAAATAACATTCTAGTACATATAATATTCTACTATAAATAACATTCTATTTTATATATAATATTCTATTATAAATAACATTCTAGTACATATAATATTCTACTATAAATAACATTCTATTTTATATATAATATTCTATTATAAATAACATTCTAGTACATATAATATTCTACTATAAATAACATTCTATTTTATATATAATATTCTATTATAAATAACATTCTAGTACATATAATATTCTACTATAAATAACATTCTATTTTATATATAATATTCTATTATAAATAACATTCTAGTACATATAATATTCTACTATAAATAACATTCTATTTTATATATAATATTCTATTATAAATAACATTCTAGTACATATAATATTCTACTATAAATAACATTCTATTTTATATATAATATTCTATTATAAATAACATTCTAGTACATATAATATTCTACTATAAATAACATTCTATTTTATATATAATATTCTATTATAAATAACATTCTAGTACATATAATATTCTACTATAAATAACATTCTATTTTATATATAATATTCTATTATAAATAACATTCTAGTACATATAATATTCTACTATAAATAACATTCTATTTTATATATAATATTCTATTATAAATAACATTCTAGTACATATAATATTCTACTATAAATAACATTCTATTTTATATATAATATTCTATTATAAATAACATTCTAGTACATATAATATTCTACTATAAATAACATTCTATTACATATAATATTCTATTATATACAACACTCTATTATACATATACAACATTCTATTTTATATATAATATTCTATTATATGTATACAACATTCTATTATATATAATATTCTATTAAATGTATATAACATTCTGTTATATATACCATTATATTATATAACGTTATAATTACACAAACTGCATAATGTTTCTAACTGTAATATCTAAACAAAATCCTAATAAAACATCAAATTCGAATAGAACCGTATCGAAAATAATAGAAAATAAAAAACTACANAAACATCAAATTCGAATACTACCGTATCGAAAATAATAGAAAATAAAAAACTACACGAATATACGTAAAGATATTTAGTTACATTTCGTTCGAGCATCGGTATAGAAATGTATTCTATTATTTTTCTTATATAGAAATATGCAAATACGATATTTTCGTTTAGATATCGTAAACGATGTAAAAGCTTCTTTCGAGTCTGCAATTACGCGCGGCCACTGTATTTTTCTAGTCGAGCGTGCGCGCGACCGGCAGAGGATGCGTCCGTTTAGGCGACACGCGTCTCCGCGAACCGACGCGAAAAATTGGATAACCGGGTTCTTCGCCGCCGCGACGACACCTCGAATCCTATCGCGGATCTCCGCGCGAAATGAAAATTGCTTCCGTTAATTTGTACGATGCAAGAAGGCACCGCGTGGACATTTGTTTCCTTCGTCGGTCTCATATTAATGATCCCCGACTTTAATGTAATTAATGTAATACATTAATATTATATCAATAGTATTTATATAATATGTATTAATAATATTAATATTGTATATTATTAATTTGTAATATCTAAATTAATTATAAATTGTAATAGGGAGAATTTGCAATCAGGGCATGTATATATATGTTATTTTTTATGATTCGACTTTAATATAATTAATACAATACTTTAATATTATGTTAATAATATTAATATTGTATATTATTAATTTGTGATATTATTTATATATAATTATTATATCTAAATTAATTATAAATTGTAATATATACATATATATATATATATATAATTATATATATAAAATAATAATAATATATAATATATATTACAATTTATAATTAATTTAGATATAATAATTATATATAAATAATATCACAAATTAATAATATACAATATTAATATTATTAATACATATTATATAAATATTATTAATATAATATTAATGTGTATAATAATATTGTATAATGTTATTGTATATAATAATAATGTGTATAATATTAATATAATATTAATATATATATATATAGATATGTGTGTGTGCTCTGACTGCAAATTCTCTCTATTACAATTTATAATTAATTTAGATATAATAATTACATATAAATAATATTACATATATATAGAATGTTATGTATATATATATTTAAAAATATTATTATATTATATTAATATATAAATTAAATATATATATATATATATATAAATAATAAAATATAATAATTAATAATATACACTAAAAACTTGTAACTAGCATCGATTCAGGGGAGCGTCCGGGGTCTAAGAAAAGCCTGAGTGCGGCCCTGGCTCGATCCAATGAAAGAGAGTAACTGTTATATGGATCAAGAGGACGTTCTTCTTTATAGGTGTCGCTGGCTTTATTGGGTCACGCGTCCTAAATTTCTCCGTTGATTTTCAATGCTGATACAACCGTATGAATGTTTTAGCCATTCAGGATATATCCCCGGCGCCGTAAATTATCCTGCGACCTCGTTAATGGTCCTGTGACCTATGGCCGCGGCTTGGTGTCGTCCGAACGTGCGATTTCCCCCGGTGTGCCGCGGGGACATTAAAAGAGGATTTTAATTGGAAGGTTATCGGCGGCCGGTCGCGATCCGCGCGGGATCGCGAGAGAATCTCCGCAAATACATAAAGGTTCTTTTCGCGTGGTCGCGCCGCCGCCGTGTCCGTCCATTGCATCGTCTTCGCGGCTTCGCGTCGCGCGAAAGGCGCCCCGCGGAATCTCCTTGACACACATCATTACGCCGTTATTAAAAGCCCGGGGTAAGCAGAACGCGTGGCGGATTCGAAATTGATGGCTCGACGATTATGCGACGGCGATCATCGATTGCAGAATTTTAATTTCCGACACCGCTTTGTCACTTTCTTTTTCGCCGGATGGCTGCGATGGTGCAATTCAGTTCACTCGAACACAACACGCGCGATTTCGTTTTCTGCTTTACGACTACGGACTTCGATCGTCCTCCACTGTCGTTAATTATTGTAATTATTTGTTATTTTTATTAGTATTATTTACCGATTATTCATTATAATAATAATAATTGTTATTTAATAATACATTATTATTATTATAGTTATAAGTATTATTTAATTACAATAATAAATTATTATAGTTATAATTATTATTATATATAATATATTAATATATTAATATTATATTATATTATATATTATGGATATATAATATATTTTTATTATATACGTATTATATATATTTTATTATATTATATTATATTATTATATAATATTTTAATATTAATAATATAATATTATTATATTATATTATATATTTATTTTATTATTATAATATTATATGTATTTTATATTATATTATATATATACATTAAAAAATATTATATTATGTAATATATTAATATATTATTATTATTTAATAATAATAATTATTATTTATTCAAATTAACAGGTAGCAATCGCACATGTACGAA